CGCGATGAAATAAGATGAATGACATGGTGATTATAGGCTAAAGGGAGCGTTTTTATGCATGCTTTCTGAGCGATGATCCATTCAGAATTTGAAGAAAACATATGTATTGCCACAATAGGCTATTTTCGAACTGGCTGCCATGCCAAACCACGTCAGATAGCACACGTAGGCTATGTCTGCACAATGTCAGTTAAAGATCACTTAATCTTGAAAGGATCTGCTGTTTGCTAACATCCCATAGACGTATTTAACATGTCAGTTTTACATACATTCTAAATCATAAACATCTTAAAGACATTTTCTAAACGTCTATTTGACATCTGATAGGGAACATCCTAGACGTATTGCAAACACTCTTAAAAAATACGTCTTCCAGATGTAAACGCACATCAAATATAGACGTCTCTGTGATGTACGTGTGCTATCAGGTTTGTCTGTTCAAATTATAGTGGTTTGTGAACATAACCACTTTAATAACAAGATTGTTTATGCTGTGATGTGAAGGTTGTTGATAGGCAACACGTAACTATTTCATGAGATTATATTTCAATGTGTTCACATCTAGCCTTACCCTACAGCTGGTTCACCCTCCGCCTATGAGGCTGCAGTATCTCATTTGAGTGTCATGTGGCTACATTATTAGCTTGTTCCTTTTGTTTTTACCCTTGCTCTATCCTTTTCTGATCCTGCATGTCTTTGTGTAGGCTATATGTAGTTCTGCTGATCCGAGTGTTGTAAAGTCGTTTGGTCAGGAGATTGTGGGAGCTAACAGTGCATTCCTGTGAGATTTCAGATACTGGAGGATCAGGTTTCAGACTGGAGAGGGAAGGGAGGGGAGGCTCGTTCCATTAGCAGGACAATTGATAGGCCACACAGGCATTCAGCAGCTCCCCTCCCCCGGCTGTCTGCTGAATGTCGGCCAGATGTGCGGATGTGTGAAGGGTGCTGTCCTTCCTCTAGTCTATACCTCCTTCCGCTCACTAGCACATTCCTCTCGCGCCTGCCCCACTTCCTGCTCCCTTACCCCGTGATCATAATCCAACATGGGGTATGATTTTGCTGGGTCAACAAATATACACATGCCTCACATGCAGATTTATCTATCTTTTACACCTATCTACACACATATTTAGCCTACACATAGAAGCCTATTTAATTCAGTGTTAACATGGCCACAAAGTTAATCAGGTTTTGAAATACAAGAGTGTAGACTATCTGTTATAAACTACTACCTTATTATATTGATTCAAATTAGTGTAGAAGTATAAGTTTCAACAAGTCGGCGAGTGCTAAAATCGTGTGTTGCGAAGGTAACCACAGCAACAATGCAGTTCGAGCGCTGTAGCAAAAATTGTCATAGGCTAAGTTACTCTGTTAGATATAAATAATATGGAAATAATAGGCGATTTATGAGTTGGATAACTGTAGTAAAGGCACCAAAAGACAAATTTGGGTGCGCGCAAAGACCTTCAACAGATTGCCGACAAAAAGTATTCCTTGGAAAAGTCTCAATTGCAGTTTGGATAGTAGCATTGTGATGCAATAAGGTGTGTGTGTGTGTGTGTGTGTGTGTGTGTGTGTGTGTGTGTGTGTGTGTATTTGTGTCCAACCAACTAGTATAGCTTTAACGTAGACTTTAAATATAGAATTCAGAATAAGGGCAACAATGACTAATAAAAAGAAGTGTTAAGTTTGGGTTTAACAACACTTGTTAATGGGCCATTAGATTAGGCCTAATTGTAAACGTTTTACAGCTTCTCGTCATTTATTCCCCATATCCTGAGCCGGTTATGGGGGTTGAAAAGAAGTTGGGAGTGTGAAAAGAGACGACAGCAGCGATTATCCGGCCTGATGTGCTCACGGCCTCACCGCTTCCTGCCTTCCGCGAACATACAACAGCTCCCTGCCCGCGAGCCATCCGCACCTCCGGTCACGTGACCGCGGAATACTTTCAGCAGAGCGCATGCAACTACACAAGCCTAGCTGACTCCGTCAGATCATTTCCTGGATTAACCGGTCTCAAGATAATGCGTCACACACAAAAATGATATGCCAGAGAATATTTTATTGTACAAAACTGAGGTAGATATAACATCACAATGTCTGTTTGTAGTAGCTTATGTCATGTTGACCTGCTGGAAAATCCCTGGCTACAATGTTTCAACTGGTTACAGCAACCAGCTACAATGTTCCAAAACACAGCTTAATACAGCTTTTCCAGCAAGGAAACCACAAAAACCCCAGTCAGTGTCATAACTGGACAAGCCTGACAGCACCATAGATACAGCTATAAAAAAAAAACATGATATAACCTAGATGGCCAATAAATAAATAAATAGATAAAGTTCATGTGAATGTCCGAGGAAGTTCTCTCAGTAACACTTCTCGTTGAAGTCATGATACCGCCGCACCATGTCCTGATTTCTGAATCAGAGAAACGTGACAGTTTGAAGAAGAACCATCACACCTTTTTCCCAAAACAACCCGCTCTCCGATGAGCTGTCACATTGTTCCACTGTGAGTAATCACCCACTGACTTCTCCACGTTAGTCAAGTGCCCTCAACATCACAGCAGTTATGCGTCTCATAATACGCTGCCCTCTGTAGTGCGCAAAGTTCACGTCACTGTCATTGTGTTGTGCCATTGCTGTTTGTCTTTTCAAAATGTCACAATTGTTCTTGGCATAGGTACAATTGACAGTGAGTCTAGCGCTCTACCGCAGTTGGTGGAATTATTCTGAAGAATTCCTCTGGCCTCCACAAACTCCAGTTTGGCTTTTTTGCACGGTATGAAGTCAGGATCTGTGGCTGTTTTGCTCCGTCGCTTTCTGGAGTGACGGTCCGATCTGGTTGGGTTGCAGTTTTCTTTGTCCACCGTGAGTCCTGCGGGTTTGTGTAGATGTACATGACCCTCGAGTCCGGACCTTTGCTCATCCTCGGTGGACTGTGTCGCTATCGCGCGCAGAGGTGTTGTCGTGGAGCTCGTTGTGTCCATGGGCTCTTCTGTTTGCGATGTGTTCTCTGTGACACTGAGTGTGTCGGATTGCCCCATTTTCTCGTTTGTCAGTCGAGCAGAGTGGTATATGTCCCTTGCAGATTTCATGACGAGCGTCAGCAACAGGCTCCGGTGGAGTCGGAGTCCACCACGCTGAGTGCGCGAGCTGTAGATTTTGCTCAACGCATGGACCATAATCTGCTTGGCCTCTGCTGTGACATCCATCGTTCTTAGTTATTTAAGTAACTTCTATCCTCTTTTTAAATATACAAACAATATTTAGGCAATTTCCTCTGAGCTCAGTTTACTTTTACTGTCGTTTCATTCACCGAAGTAAACCTCAGCGTGAAGACAGCGAGCTTTATATAGTTTCGGTGACGTGTTCGCTTGTGATTGACACTCGGACTCCTCCCATGAATTGCGGCTCTGAGGAAATAAGTCAGAACGTGTATCATTCTGCTTCTGATGTAATCAGTCAGAAGATTTTTTTGACAACTAAGTAGCCTACTAAAATTAATCACCAATACCTCTAGACTATCAATGACCTTTAAAAAATGTGTTTAAAAAACGGCAGTAAATGTCGATGAATCCTTCTGATTGTTTTATTGTAGCCTGCCTTTTTTTTTAAATGAATTGCATTTTTAACTAAAATGATATATTACATTATATAATTACTCGACAATACAACACAATGACAAACGCTTAGGAAGGCTTTGCCATTTTTCTAGCCTGGGTTAATGGATAGGCTTCTTTTATTCCCATGGATATTGTTAGCTTCCTCATTCTCTTATGCCCATAAAAGGAACATCCGCTTGTCGGTCCGCTCAATGGAAAACCCATGATGCGTGGGCTCGTTCAGGCTACTTCCTGTTGCCTTATTTGCTTTAAGAGATTTCGTCATAGCCAATAACTCACACGACACGAGCGCGTCAAGCTTCCTCTGCCCATTTACGGGTGGATCCAGCTGTTTTGGCGTAAAACGTATAACATCACCATTTTATCAAACGTTAGATCCCCAGATGTTGTTTAACCAAATATACATTTTCTAAATTCAGTCCACATTCAATTTAGTTTTAGGACTTAGTAACTGTAAAATTACAGAGGTGACACGTGAGACGAGATATGCTATTAGACTTCCTTTATTCATACATAGCCAAAAAAATATTTAGTTAAGTTTTACTATCAAAAAGGCAGTTGATCTATTCAATGGGAAATAATAATAATAATAATGAAATGTTAAAGTGCACTCTCAAACTCAATCTCTGGATTGCAGACATGATCAGGTTGTGTTAAGAAAGGTTGCACAAACCAAGTATTTCTCTGTGATCAGGTAAAGCTACAGTTTAGGGATTAATTAACTCAATAACCTCCCAAGGTCTACATAACAATATTGTATAGCATGATAGAAGAAAATAGTACATTGAGTTATTTCAAAGTAAGCGTTCATTGAAATATATACATCCACTCAAGTATTCCACTTAATATAAGTGTGGTTGGCTAAAGTAAACCTATAAAAGTTGTGTGCCTTAAAGACAATCAAAAGGGGTTTTTTTCCCCAGCAACTTAATACATTATTAGCTTGAATTCACATGTAACATTGGCTGCTTTCAGTGAAGACCTCCATGTTTAGTCAAGGTGTATTCACTCCTGAAGGACTGCAATTAGATTGCATATTAAACATACTATGTACATATCAACTCAGTGGTTTTCAACCAGGTGGCCTCACCGGACTTCCAGAGGGGCTGCAAGATTACTTTTTGTAAATAATTAAAACACTTAAAAAAATCATCAGTACATTTATCTTTTTCCAATATAAATATCTATAATTCTTAAATCAAATTACATTTATTTGTGAAGCAAATATATTAAGATAAGATATTAGGTCTTATTTTCTTTTTAAAAAGGTGGTCTTGTTTAAACCTGGAAAAGAGATCTGTAAATGGGTAAAAAAAAAAACTATATATATATTTTGAATAATAAATCAAATAAGGCGCCAAAGAGACAATCTTTGTTACAAACTTTTATTAAGATATTCAGCTGTATCCTTTGACTTTTCTCTTACTCATTTTTTACAGTAGTTAATGTGCAATTACTTTTGATAATATTGGGTCACAGTTAGGGATTCACAAAGTTATTGGCACTTTGAACACAGACAGAATGGAGTGGATGAGCACTGGCGTTACAGGGTCAGTGCATGAGCACAGCTGGGTATGGGTTACAACTCATGCTGAGAGTGCACGACTAACAATCAAACTTCATTAGTGCTTCTATGTAATATACAGTATATAGATTTGTATAGGGATGTAGTCATAGAAAGTGAGACACTGCATCGTAAAAAAAAGTTCACAACCTGTTTGTTGTTTTGAGTGTTCAAGCGTGCTGATGTCATCACCCATCCTGTCTGTATTTCTCTGTAATTCGTGATACCATGTCCGGACATCAATTTGTCGAGCTGTCACACGTTACTTTACCAAAACATTTGCAAAGTTGGGTTATAATCCATCTCATTTCAGGGAAAAGACTGAAAGCAGAGTGTTGGGGTGTGCTGGAAGAGAACGCAACACGCATAGAAAGAGGTGAGTATCTTTTTGTGGTATGTCTGTTATTTCGAGTGGAATAGCAATGCTGCATTCTGGGTAAATAGGCTTAGACTGACAAAATAAAACTGCAAGCTAAAGGAAAACCTGCAAAATGCAGCGAGTCCGTTGCTTCAAAACAGACGGGTCCGGTTTCTGCCTTTGCAGAGAGGAGAGACAGTCACTATTTATAAAAGAGTTCAATTTTTAATACACCACTCCATACTCTCTCTTGCAAGCTGTCAGCGATCCACCAGGTTACAAATTCACAATGATCTACAATGCACAGTACTCCAACAAACTGTGTTACAAGGAAGAATGACAAGACTGATGGGCAGTTAAACTCTCACGCTCTTTCTCCACCTTCACAGGCGTCTGCCATCTAACTGCTCTGTGCTCCGTGACACAGTCAGACTGAATTGCAAGGTGCCGAGGAGCACGTCTATGAACGCGAACCCCAGAAAAAGGTGCTTTATTCGGGCACAGAGAGCAGATAGACAGGCAACGTGATATGGACATCCTGGCCTTTTTTTGATTAACACTGGTCCCTTCATTCCCTCTATATACTTGCCTTAAGAAACCTCTCACACCAGGCGAGACATACGTTTTTCCTAAATAAAAATAATCCTTTAAAAGGTGAAATGTGTAACTTGAAACTAATTCACAAAAACAATGATTTCAGCCTCTTTCGGGCTGGTTGTGATGCTCAAACAAACAGAGCAACTTTTTGATAGGGCCACAGTGTTACACCTTTCGGGAAAAATCAACCATCGAATGGCTTACTTTGAGCATTTTAACATTGAAAAAAATTACACAGGTCACCTTCAACTTCCCAGAAGGAGAAAAGCCATCTTTTGTGGCCACTAAAAGTCATCTTTCTCAGTTATGACACCCCCTGGTGTTGACCAAGTAGTAAATTCAAGCCGCAGTAACAACACACAGACAGCAGGTGGCGCATGGACACAGCGGTTCCTCTCCAGCGACGCATGCAGCATATGTGATCTGTGCCATCAAAATGGAGGACGCATAAACACTGGCACAGTCATAGCCGGCGAGAGGAGAGAGAGGAGCGCCGCCACTCCATGCCCTACCCAGATACACACGCAGTCCGTCTCCCGCAGTCCTCCTGAAAAGGCACCAGTGACCCAGCAGGCCTTTAACATCTAAAGAATAGCACACATAGCACCAGTTCATCCCTCACCGTGCCCCCACCCTCCCAGCACTTTAGTCGATAAAAAGAAATGAAAAAAAAAATACTCAGTACTCTATCATCAGTCAAACAACTCTATATTGTATCCTTAAAAAACTTGGCAAGTCAACTCTTCACCTTGAATTAGTAGTAGTTGAAAAGTAAATACAGTACACGTGGTCTGCTAAAAGAATGGAGAAATGAAACCGAATGAAATGAATGCATGCACATTCCCAGATGTTGATTTCGCAGGATGTTATACATTTCTACACTAGAGGCATTATTGTCTTCTGGTCCAAAAGAAAGAAAAAAAAAGAAATAGGTCACCGGTCAGACCAGAACCAGACTGCACTTAAGACGTAAACTTGCCAGGAGTTCACTTTATTTGCTACGACTCTAAAGCCTGAAACCAAAACAAGAAAACTACAATTTCCAGATATACAAACAGCAGGTAAGCCAGACTTGGTTATGCAAATAAAAGTTAAAAGAAAATTAGCTAAAACATGAGGGGTGAAAGACCTAATGTAAGCCTTCCATTAAAAAGACCAACGACCTGTTAAAAACCTGGTCAAAATCTGTTCAACAGTCTCTTCGATATTTACATCAGTATTCAACATGGTTAGCCGCAGACACAGGGGTGCATCCTGTTATGGGCCAGATACCGACACATACACATCCACGAAGTTTAGTCCAAAAACCATCGATTTACGCTCTACAAAAAAAGGTGCACAATCCACCACTCTCCTCTACAAAAAGGTGCAAAAGGCTCTAGTTCAGTCTACGAAAAGGTGCAAAGAGTTCCATTTCTTCAGAAAGGGGGCGGTGTCTACTGTATGTGTCCCAGGAGATCAGATGCACAAAAAAAACATCACTTACACAAACACGCGCGGCCTACCAATTCGGGCATGAAATATTAAAATCGCCTTAAGTATCGTATTTCTGTTTTTGTGCAGCATGTGCATATAAAACCCATGCCTGAGTGCACATTAAGACATCACATGCAATCCCATTCAAATCCTGATGGAAATCTGGATTATGCAAAAGTTCACGGGTTACGGCAAACCTTCAGACAGCCGAAGAAGCATCCGTACGTGAAGCCTCCGATGCATAAACACAGAAACAAACACCCTAAATCCCAGAATCAACACATCACCCACATGCAAATACACAGTGCCAACTATGTGCAAGGAATGTATACAGATGGTGACTTGTGTGGACACACACATGCTTGCCTAAGCGAGCACAGACACACACGCACGCACACATGCACACACAGCTGCCCAAACAGGGACATGGGCAACATGGAGAGACTTAATCATTCTGCTCCTCCTCTCCTGGGACACAGGCAATGTAAACCCTCCTCCACTCCCAAACACACACAAAGTCAGGCCCAAACCTTAAGACAGTAAAGTGACTAACAATAAGAAGCACAACCTCCTTTCCCCCTGGGCTGTAAAAGCATGTTTGTGTGCGACAATGGGGGAAGAAAGCTAAAAGGTTTACAAGCTAAAAACACTTCGTTTTGATGTCCTACACAATTTTTCTTTTCTCTTCAGGGGATAGTTTATCCAATTCTGTCATCATTTACTCACCCTCATGTTGTTCTTAAACTGTATGTAACACAAAAGAAGATATTTTAAAGAATGCTTCAACTGTTGTTGTGCAAACACTGAAAGTCAGTGGGGTTGAGATTACCGTATTAATTGGTCAAAACGGCCAAACGAATTCTGCTACAGGAACGATGGTAATCCAGATACAAGCCAAGCACCATTCTTTGAAATGTAAGATAATCCTTATGCAAAAATATTCCTCATTATTCTCACTATTTCCATTTAAAGCCCAATAACAAGGTGTCTCTTGAGGGGAAAATAAAAAACAAAAATAGAGATTTTAAAACAATCCCTCTCTCTCAAGCTCAAAAGGTGTGAGCAGATAAATATATTTTTTATCCTTTACAGTCCTTAATCATCTTTGATCAACTCTGAATTCATATAAATCACACACAGTGGAACAAGTAGAAGGAGAAAGGAGAAAACGGCGACATAAAAAACAAAGAACGTGGCAGACTAAGATCCCACATATATTTTGGGAGGAATGGAAGGAGAGGAGGATATCAGATTCTTTCCATTTTAGACAGAGCGAGAGACAGAATATGCCACCTACTTCTCCTCTCCTCCCTCACTACTTTCTCCATCTGCTGTTCCTTTAGATCTTATGACGAGCATTTTTCCTGTCTCTCTCCTGGGCCAAATACAATCGGCTAGTCTGGCATAGCCAGGTAGCTACAAACTAATACATTCAAATTCAGTAGAGTGAGATCAGGGAACATCGGGCCTCCAGTCGCAATAACTTTTCCTGGTCCTAATTATGTATTCCTATAGCATCGGTGACTAGATTTACTTGCCGAGCATGGAGGCAAAGGGGATCTTCTGTGCAAAAGAGGGTTATTCAGCAAAAACAAAAATGATTGAAAAGAAAATAGCGCCCCTGGTATAACCCCCCCGTGTTCCTCCCGACACTAGACCGTGCTATCTCCTCCAATCTCCTACCCGACTCTCCCTTTCCCATCCCAGGCAAAAGCAGCAGAGCCCAGAGTCACGCAGCGGGGTGGGAGGCAGTAAGGAGGTGGGGCGGCAGAGGGGATGGGGCAGGGCTTTCCTCGCCAGGTCGCTCACTGAAACAAAGTGCCGTTGTCTCCGCCCACACCCTGCAGAGACTCGCCCGAGGATCCTCCGGTCTCCACCGAAGCGCCGCCCTCCAGGCTTGCGGTCTCAAAGGTAGGCTCGCCGCTGAGGCCGTCCGCTTCCATCTTGATGCTGTCAGGAAGGAAATTAGCATAGGCGTCGCCCTCCGCCATCAGTAGCTTCAGCTTGGGGATCCAGCTCTTCCTCACCACGCGCCGAGCGTTAGTGCACATGTCCGCCGCAATGGCGTTCATCTCGCTCTCTTTAAAGCTGGTGGCGAAGTTCTGGCAGTAAACTGTTGACATACGGGAGGGAGTCATTTCTAAAGGCACGCTCACACCAAGAATAACTAAAACGACAATTATATCAGCATCCACACCCATGGATGATAACGTTCTAGTGGTATCATGACTCGGTTCAATACACAATAGTGATCTCACAATATTTTAAACAAAGCCAAAATAAAGTTTAAATGTTTTATTAGGTTTTTTTTTAGTTTACTTCTAAGACATGATGAACAGTTAACAAAAAGTACGGTGGCTGGTTCCATAAACTGCTAAAACTAGTCTTACAACTTAGTCATCTCATTTTTTTTTCTTCAAGATAGGTCAAAAAAACTTCTTCTTTTTTAAAGTCAGTTACATAAAAAGGTAGATTGGTCTAATTTGAATCCAAAAAGTAAGACTAATTAGCCCTAAGTAACTGCTAGTTGGTCAGACTAGTTCAGGGGGGTGTATTAAAACTTTATCGTTATAGTTATCGTACTTCGTGTAACAGGCCTTCATAGGTACGCAAATTTGAAAAACTCACACTTGACAGCGTGCAACACTCGGCTGTCCAGCGGCTTACGGCTGGGGTCATTGGTGGAGGAACGGATGCCTGTTCCACAACTGTTGGCCAGAGTGCTCCTGTGTCAAAGAGAAACAAGAAAGTTAGAGGCCTTACACTTTCACTATTATGGAAGACATCTTTAATGTTTCTCAGACTTACCTATCGAAGAAAGCAGCCAGCAGCCTCCTCAGAAGGACTTTGTGCCTGGTCCCTGCACTGACGTGACAGTTCATCAGCTGAGCTCGTGAAATGTACACACTGGTGCCTGTGGAGCAAATACATGACAAGTGACTACAGTGGCTCAATCTTAAGTTTATGAAGCGACGAGAAAACAAAAATAACGACTTCATTCAAGTTACACTACGTGAACTCACTCGAGGCCCACAGAGAAGAAAATGAATAGTTGAATGAAGTCGTTATTTTTGTTTTTAACACAAATAACTCAAGAACTAAATAATCGATCGGCTCCAAATAAAGAGTAAATTGGCAATATCAAACATGTGCATCAAACAATTTCTCTCGTTATAATATACTCATATGCTGCTGTTTTGGAGATTTTTGGTTTTTGAAACTAAATGCTCACCAAGGCTGCATTAATTAATTATTAAAATAACTTTTTAAATAAAAATTAAATATATTTTTAACTGTAATTTATTATTTAATGTCTTTGTAATTTATTATAAATGTCTTTCGTCGCTTTTGATCAATTCAAAGTGTCCTTGCTGAAAATAAGAATTAATTTCTTACATAAGAAAAAAAACCTCTTTTGTGGGGTCTAAAGTTCCAATAAATACCATTCAATTTAAAACCTGGAAATAAATTCATTAGCGTAAGTGCATTTACATTATACTGGATCATGTTTCTAGACGTTACACTGCATATACACACACTTATAAGATTGACTGGCTGTTTGTGTCTGATCTTCAAGTTTTCCAGGACTATAGATGAAAAGTCAACAGTCGTCAGTCATTATAATCAGAGACTATTTACATAGAGACATGCCACTTCATCAATCCTAAATACAACTATATAGGGAAAACCCGTAACGCCAAAGATGGCAGTTGTATGCACATGTCCCGCCCCTCCCGCTGGAAAGCCAATCGTCTGCTTTTAACAGTCAAGCCGGAAAACATTTAAGCCTATCGTCTGGTTCCACTGGTTTATATCCACGTCTGGTTTATATTGCTTCATGTCTGGTCTTGTTCGAACGATTTCTTTTATCGTATTTGTAAAGCACTTTGAGCTGCATGTTTATATATGCGACTGCTGTTTAAAAAAAGTTTCAGTAACGTATTATGCGCACAGTTGAGGTTTGCGACAGCGCAAAATACGTTACTGTTTGAAAAGGCGGCAGATTTGATATGCAGTGTGTGTGCGAGTTGTGTAATATCAGACATCAGAAGTCTCCCGCAGATTGATAGCGGCTCCCTGATGCCCGCAAATTAGTTCAAATCTCCCGGAATCTAGAGCGAGCGAGCAAGAGCTCACACATACTGTGCTTCAAACTGTGTAGCGCGCGCACGACCGAGGGAGAGAACCCTTGCGCATGCATAGTAAAAGTATAACCTGTGAGGAAAAAGGCCTTTTAAACCTTATTTTGGGGCAAAGTCATCAAACTTTTTCAGCGATTTTTATCATATTTTACTGCCGTTTCTATACATGCAGTTTTTATGTATTGGTGACCAGTGAAACTGCAGTTCTGACTCTCTGTCCATTCATTTAGATAGGAGCCTGGTCTTGTTAGTCCGAAATAGCTGCCCGGAGGTAGGCTGTCGCGGTGAAGGAATTTCCCTTGCGGTAATTTTGAGTGGCTCAATAGCGCGATATGCGGTATTACCGCCATTTATTTATTTATATTTATTTGTTGCTATAAATACGTGTTATGATGTGGTCAGCATACACAAAAACAATGTAACCAATGTAACCGAAACTAAACAGCGTCTCTGCGCATTGAAAGACTGTCACTTAGCGCGCAGTTACATTGTTATGCCAACGGACTGTCATTGAGTCATAGACTGAGTGAGTCATTAAACCGCACGTTCAAAAAAGCTGATTCCTTAAATGATAGATGTAATGAAACAAGGCGTTAATTAATTTTTTTAATTTTGAGCTCCACTTTCCAAGGCTCAGCTGGCCAGCAATGCTTCACTTAATAGAGACCAATGCGTGACTCGCTGCTTTCCCCCCACGGCTTCCTCGCACTGTGTAATGCTGACGCCATTCATGGTAAATAGCCTACCCTTACACGTTAAAAGGATGATACGACAAATATTTCGCTTTCCTTGGAAACGCCAACCTTTTCACGAATATACATGATTTGACTTCAAAGACAGAGGCAGGTAATCGCACACGCTCAGGCGATCTCATTCACTGTCTGTTTAGGCTTAAGTCCAAATCCACGAAGCCTCTGTACAAATCACCATGATAAACAGTCTTGTTATCATTATTAACTTATTTAACATTCAATACACATGGTACGAACTACGAAGGGTGGCCTTATGAAAAAAGAAAACGCGGTTTGGCGGTTGCTGCGGTTACTTGCATTCCTCTGCGGTTGGCCTGTCAGTAGCGCGGTACTGCAATATTGCGGTTATCGCGACAGCCCTACCCGGAGGCGTTGCCAAGATGGCGGCCGAGTGGCATGACTTGCCTAAAAGGACTTTGTTATAATTCAAAAAACAAAACCTGCCTCCATTGGATGGGGGAAGGGGGATGGAGGGGCTTTACAAAAACAACATTTGAAAATCATTCAAAAGCTTATTTTCCATCATGCTCTTAATTAAACATTTTTGTCTCATTTCCATTTTTCCTTTTCACTCCTCCAGCGCTTCATATTTGTTCATCATTTAATGACTTTCTGATGACATTTTTTCCCAAAGACCTTTTTATCGTTTGTCCTCTCGTCTTGTTTCAATTCCTCATTTCATTTTCCACTTTATATTGCTTCATGTCTGGTCTTGTTCGAACGATTTATTTTATCGTATTTGTAAAGCACTTTGAGCTGCATGTTTATATATGCGACTGCTGTTTAAATAAAGTTTCAGTGATTACTGGAATTCCTCTGTTATGTGTACTGAACAGTTCCAGTCGGACAGCTCAGAGTCACTTAAGGCCACGCTTTAAAGCTCATAAAAGCCTCCATTACCTTACAGTCACTCAACAAAACCTGTTCTACACCACAATACCAAAACAAGGCTTCTCCAAACACGGTTGACCTATCAATCACCACGAGCGATCATTTGCTTTTCATGGGCTATTGAACATGATGCCGGTTTTACTCCCTATTTGTCTCTTCTATAGATTAATATTATTTTCTCGGCAGATGTTTTCTTACAGGGTGATATGACGACTGCTTGAGCAACAAAAGAATGATTTATCCCACTATAATACACCTCTCCCTCAAGATGTTTTGGTTCATCGGTTACGTTTTCTTAAGGAATGATCAGACTCAGACCTGAAACTAGCTCCAGTTTCTCTGCAGGGTCACCTTCCTCGTAAAGTTTGGGATGACAGCGGTTGCCGATCTGAGCGATGAGCTCGGCAGGGAGAGAGGCGAGATCCTGTCGGCCGCGCATCCTAGGCCGCGTCTCTGAGTGGTCCGGGAGGGCCTCCACACGCTCCCCAGCTGAAGACGAGAGAAAAAGAAGAAGGGAAAGGAAGTTTATGGAGAGTAGAGAAAGTGTGAAGACAAAAACGTGATCTCGGCACACGCTGTCTAGACAGTTGTGAAGATTAAACCAGCACTCAGGTCTTTTGACTCTGAAAAACAGACAGATAATACAGACCTCTTGGGACCGAGACTAATAAAAGACCTGTGAAATCCAACGGCATCAGAACACATTCAGTTTTCATGCCGTCTGAGAGAAGATAAGACCTTCTGATAAAATATTCATGAGCTCCAAACAGTTGAAGCGTTTTAACAAAAAGTGTGAATTTAGCCATGATGATATTCCTACTTAAGAAACACAACAGAGAGTAGACAATAGTTAACTTGTTAAAATGGAGGCCAAAAAAAAGCAGGAGCCAGTATAGATTACAACACATACAGGATCAAAGGAAGTGCTGGAGTGGGAAGTGCTATTTTAAAACTTAAATGAAAATTCTGTCATCATCAAACCTCCATGACTACTTTTTTTCTTCAGTGGAACACAGAAAACAACATTTTAACCATGTTCTGGTCGTTTTCTTTCTATGCAATCAAGAACAGGGACTGGAGCTGGCTTTTTGTGTCATTATTCAGTGAAAAACATGAGTTGATGAGAGAAGTAGTGATGTTAGATTTGTAAATTATTTTTTTGAGTCAATCTTTTCAAAGAATCTTTTGATACAGTTCACAAAACTGGCTTGAATTAAAGTGAACAAAAGTGAAAGTGGCATGTGAAGGCCAAGTATGGTAACCCATTCTAGGAATTTGTCCTCTGTATTTAACCCATCCAAGTTACTTAGTATTCATTCATGAATCGGACTGACCCAATAAGCTCAACTGTAAACAGCTCACGTGAGGGAAAGTCTGAATAAATAAGAGTTGCGGAAAAAACAACAACTTTTAAACCTTATTGTGATGTACATCGGAGTGTAACAGATTAGCGAAAAAGGGAAATGTATGGCAATAACTTGGTTCTATCCATCGGTTGTTGATTGAATTGAACTCAGATGTGGGATTTGCAATCAACTACGTCACCAAAGACAAGCCTGTCGTTTCACCGGAAGAATGAGTTGACATTTTGATTAAAAATTACAAGGTGCAAAAATGTTTTAAATATTAAATAAAATATGCATGGATAAATTGTAAAAAGAATATATATATATATTTTTTTTAACATAAGATTTCTCACACAAAGCTATTGTATGGCTTCAGAAGACTTGAAATACAGTGCAAGAGTCATATTGACAACTTTTATAGTGCATTTGAAGTCTGAAAGCTCCATTTCACATTCATTGTAATTGCATGGAAAAGACATTATTAAAATTTCACCTGTTCTTTTCCATGGAAGACAAAGTCATCATACAGGTTTGGAACACCATGAGGTAGAGTAAATGATTATAAATAATGACTGAGTCGATTATATAAATAATTTTAAGTGTTTCCATTTCATGCAGCAGGGCTGTGGACTCACCTGTAGCTCCCACGTTTAACATGCTGTACATGGTGTACATGTTGCAGATCTGCCTGTACTGCTCTTCAGTGCCATCATCCACCGCCTCTTCCTCTTCCTCATCGTCATGGTAAGAGATGGGGGAATCGCTGGCATAGGCACTCAATGTACCGGGGCTGGTGCCTTCAGGAGTGGCACTGCTCGTGCCGTTGCCATTGGTGCTGCCGCCGCCACTGTGACCCCCCTGACCCATTCCTAGACCCATACCAAGTCCCATGCTACTTTGCTGCTGGATGGCGCTTCCACGTGCCATCTCTTGGGAAAAGCGGGCCGCCTTCCTCATCCCTCCTCCTCCGGCTGTGCCCGAGCCTCCGCCGCCTTCCCGATTGCTTCCTTCCCAGAGCCGCTTGGCCACCGGCGCGCACACCACAGAATAGGGCGAAGCCTCCGGTTGCTCTGTCTTCACCCGAGACACCAGGGGCAACGGGGTCAAGCAGGAAGTGGGCCGACTGGCTGCGCCGCCTCCATTTGCCGAGGCCCCAGCCGCTGTCTGGGTGACGGGACTCTGAGGCTCCGATGGAGGAGTTTCTTCGGTATGGAGGCCCTGTGAGTCGCAGCTGGGCGAGCTGACCTTCAAGAAGAACTCTGTGCCCTTCTCCATGATCTGCTGGATCTGGAGAAAGCCAGCCGTGTACATGAGTAGAAACTGGTCTCCGACGTTCATGCTGAGGCGGCCGGTGTAGCAGAAAGCCAGGATCTGCTGAAAGCTCTGCGGCTGTACGGCCGGGGGCAACTCCACCACCGTAGGGGTTTTGCTGCCCGCGCTGCTGTTGAAAAGGTCACGGAAGTAGGAGCTGCTGGCTGCCAGCACGGCGCGGTGAGCTTTAAAGGTGTGTCCTTTCACCACCACAGACACGTCGCAGTACAGGCCCTGTAGCCGCTGCTCGTTCAAACACTCCAGGACATTGTTGCCGAAGTTTGGGATCGCCATCTGAAGGGTCTGAGCCATGGCGCTATGGCCAGCACCACCACAGAAATCTGAGCGGCACCAGAGGAACAGAAGGAGGGAAAGACAGATGGAAGAGAAAGAAAGAGATCTTTGTCAGCAGCATTCTCTCAGCAGCACAGTAGTTCATCCCTTAAGACTCATTGCAACCGTCATATGCCTTTAAAGCAGTCAAATCCACTAAATCTACCATAATTTATTGCAGAGACACAAACAGTTATTGGCAACAGACTGATACATTAAAAGGTGGTGAAATGTAGAATACCCCAGGGATGAGCCTGTAGGCACCTTTAGCAGACTGGCCTAAAACATGCGAACTCTGAAAAATAATAGGGGGGTTGGCGAGCCGCCTCTAAAATCCTGTGAGCAGGATGTGACTGCTAATCTGAATGAGATGGTGATTCAGCTGAGACAGAGATAAAATGGCACTCTTTACAGTACTACATCAGGGGAGGGAGAGAGGGGGAGAGTGCGAGAGAGATACTAAACCAGTGATTGAGGTCATAGTTGAGGAAGAGGGTGGAAAACAATGGGCTTTGACTGACACTGCAGTCAGTCTTATTACTGCTAAATGTGACACCATGAGCATAGATATCATTACAGCTCACAGCTGTGCTGCTGGGGAAATTCATTATAACCTGAACTTTCTACTTTAAAATAGGCTGTTCAAACATTTTACAAGTATGAAGAGTTATAACTGTGGTCTGTTACATTTTAAGCAACAGATACACTTATATGGGTCTTTTATATGGGGGGGGGGGGGGGGGGGGGTATTTTTTGCGAGTCAGCAGAACTTTCTGAGAGGGTACAGATTGACATTTTTCCATCAAAAGAAAAATGGTGGCTTATTGTTCAGCAATCATTTGGTGAAGTAAAAACAGCCCTCAAATCATGACAGCTAAACCAACACGGCAGAATAACACTGTGATGTGATATACTTCACACATTAAGATTAGACAGTGGTAGGCAACACATCTGGGCACATGTTTCCCACACAAGCCATCACATTAAAAATCACTGACTCTGATCTGATCACACAGAACTAACAGGACGTTCGTGGTAAAAGAAGTACCCTCTTTGTCTGACTTCAGGCTCGCTCCCCCCTCCCTTGCATGCACACACACAAGCCATAGACATCAGACAAAACGGCTTGTTTACAGTTGGCCAGAGAGCTGTGGCACACATACACACTGAGAGGCCCAGGGTTTATTTAAGAAGCTTTCCCTTGGGGTGGGGGAGGAGAGGGACACCTTAGGTATAGTTATCATGGTGTGTGAGATAGGGGGCCACAACATTTTAAAGACTGTCCTCACAACTCAAACTGCCTGTATGAAACTTTCAACATGCAACCAATTGAGTATTGGAGTCTAAAAACACCTAGGCCTAAATAAAATAAAGTAATCTTAGAACTTCAATCTTAATTTAGTAAATTTCATGCACTTATTCTCAATGACAAATTCTATACCTTAACTAGTATGTACATTTGGGTCAACTGGGACCCTTTTAGGCAGTCAGCTTAAAAAAGTGATTTACTTATTTCAAAAGTGATTTCGAACTAAATATCAGTGGTTCTCAACCCTTTTAACTTCAATATATCTTAAAATCAGGATGTATGCTGCACACACACGAAACATGACTGAGTGACAGCTCAGCAAAATGTCCCTGATTTTCCATTACAGTAATTTGACGCATGTTACACTGTTTATTTTACATTTACATGTATATTACATTACATGTTATTAGCAGATTTAGCATTTTTATTGTTAAAATAATACTCAAATATAATATGACTGGGGGCCCCCCTTAGCAAGTTTACCAAGTGCCCTAGTGGGACCCGAGTCGAGAACCACTGATACATTACGAAAAAAAACAGCACAGCTTTAGAATCCTGTAGAATCCTAATACTGTGATGTCAAGCCTGTGTGATGGAAGTGCAGACGCAGCCACTGAGCATACGACGGTGCATAAACTAACACTAATTCAACAATGCTGAACAGTTAAGTAGAATATAAGTAAATAGTGAGCAAACCTTTGGCCGCCAGCCCTGCCAGTACAGCAGTGTTATGAGGCTGTGTCGGCGGCAGGCTAACCGTGTGTCAGTCAATCTGCCCGTCCGTCCGGAGTTCTCCACTGGCACGGGCCGTGAAGGGGGGTGAAGAACGATGGCAAAAGCGCCCACTATGAGCCACTCTGTGAGAAATGCAGCACCTACATGCGAGGGAGCGAGCAATAACGCAGTGGGGGGGACGCCGCGACGCACAGAGGGCCGCGCGAAACGAGCAAGTTTGCCGCTCTTGTCCCGTCTTTGCCAATGCACCGCACCGAGAGCGAGCGTGCCTACATCCTCGGGCCTAGACGGATCCGTCTCGTGCGCGGCACCGCTGAAATGAGGGTTCGCCCGGTTCTCCACCCCACTCAATTACAACGGCAACACTCAACAATCTCTAACGACTGATTGAGCAGGCGGTTGTTAGCATCCTTAAATACCCAAGTGCATACTTTTCAGTCAACGGAATTTCAAAGTTAATGTTCCATGGCGATTTGCGCGCTAGTTCGGATACCCCACCTTATCTCATTTCACAGACATCAACAGGTCATCCCGGGACAAATGCACGAACTGGGGGCGAGCCAGACTGAACCAGTGCTGACAGCAGGGGGGGTCAGCTAGACTCCGCCAATAAGAAAATGATTGAACTAACGTTACTCGCCGTCGCCACAACAACATCAATCACGCTCAAAGTGGTATCTTCAAACTAAATGCACAAATAGGAGCCTTTCGGTTAACAGATTAAAGAGATCCCGGAAATCAGGTTTTTAAATTAGCCAGATCTGACTCCGGAACATCTGCCAGCATGAGCGTTCAGCCATGTCAGTGAGGTCGGTGAAGTGGTTAAACTTTTTGTTGGTACCATTAGTCTGTGCCCATCCCCCACCGCACACCTTCCCCAAAACAATGCCCCCCAAACATCTCAGCGCCATCGGATTTCAGCCAAAATGCCAGGACAGCCGCTCGCGCGCCATCCTCGCGTGTCACGCAGCCTCACATGACCTGCTGCGGGGATTCGAAGGCAGGATACTCACCCCTAGCTGGAGGCCGTTTCAAAGTGTTTCAATGGAGTCCGACGCGCTCGCTCTCCTTCACTCTCTCGCCTCGTCTGTCTCGCGCTGGAAACAGCCATTCATTGTGGGCATAGGCGCGAAGTCGATCGCAGAGCCATCGAGCGCGAACTCTTTTTCCAGCGGGATCCGGAGCGCAGAGCCACTGATCATGCATAGACTAGACATGACTCCCCATCGTCACTCAATCGCATGATCATCACAGGCGCAGCCTCAATGCCAGGAGACCTATCCAGCGTCGAGATGTATTTGCGCATAGGCTGGCACAGCAACAGCTAAAAGAGCCACCGCCTCGTTTCCATACGTGCGCAAAAAGTAGGCCATGCCTCTACGTCTCGCCACACAGATCTCCAATGTAGAGCACGCAGAGAACGCCATGAACTCAGAACAGCACACCGCGAGGGAACGTTAACATCAAATAAAGTTTGCTTATATTGAAGCAACGTTTAGTGTTGGGGACGTTTACTGCGTCCTGAAATGCGTAGCATCGGGGCATTTGCTTTTAATATTTATCGCATATTTAATTAGAGTAAGATCCAAAATTCCTGTATATCCCATTTTAATAGCCCGATATAAAATAATCCCTAAAAATATTCAAATGAGGCTTGTGGGCGATTCTTCATTGGAAATGCTCATCAAGAAATTGTATGGAAAGCATGAAATAACGTTACTCACTGTTGGCTCGAATAGTCCATGTAAAATTTCCCGCACCGTCTGCAGGTCATATAGCCTACATCTATGTGTTTTAAACAACAGGGAAAACTATACGAACGCGTGACGTCACATGCTTACCCTATAGATGTCCTTACATTACCCCGGTGAGCTACATTTCCAATTGCATTTTTGTGTCTGGAAACGTGCGCACGGGCTTCCGTAGTCACGAATTATTGAAAGTGAAAACACTGGGTTGCCAGATTGGTGTATGTTTATTATTATAACACTGCAAATATTTTTGTTTATACCCTTTCTGTCCATCTCAACAGGAGCACTAAACCAGGCCCAGAATGGTGTGTGTGTGTGTGTGTGTGTGTGTATATATATATATATATATATATAGGCCTATATATAGAACTTGAACTAATGTAATTTGACTCCTATGTCTTTTTATTAGGCCTACGTTCATTTTTGTGTGGATCATTTATGATATATTACGCATTATCCATAGTCTAAATTTCACATTACTGGTAGCCTACATTAAAAAAAAAACATTACTGGCGGGCACATAAACAGAATAAACGTGTTGAATTGATAATAAATTCATTTTAATAAGAACTATTTTAAAATATGAACTGATTTGTATTGCCAATTAAATAAATAATAATATTTAGATTTTATGAGGTGTTGAATGTATCAGTAACTTAAACCAACATTTGGTTGCAAACTTGCTAGCGCATAATCTCAATTTAGATTAAAATAACAATTTGTAAAAATGTAATTATAAATAGGCCTATGTACTGTTCTATTTAATCAAACTGGCCTGGCCTTTTTTGGACATAAAGTCATGTCCAAAGTGTATCTGACAATTTGTTTAAAAATAAATAAATAAATAAGAGTTTTAGGCCCCATGTTGTACCTTTTGTGGAAAGTCCCGGTGTGATATGTATACATTGGAATATTCAAACAAAAAGGAGCACTGCCCTCTATTGGCATTATTATAGTATCTCAGGGTGCAGAACGTTTTATTTTCTCCTTTGAGAACCTCATCTAACCACTTTTATATTAGTCCCTGAATCTTCTGCATTCCAATATTTGACCATTTAAGAGTCAAATTTTTACTTTTCATTTACTAGATGTAGTAGGCTATTGCCTGTTGTTGTTACAGAGTTAGTCACATTGAGCATCATTGGCCATAAGTGTCTAACTCAAGTTGTTAGTTGTTATTTATTTCAGGCTGCATCCTATTGCACATCAGATACATTTAGCCATAATTATGTGCTATAACCATACTTGCTGAGAAACATGGACGTTTTTGTTGCATAAAATGTGTTAATGTATGACAGTACACTTGATTTAGGCTACGCACTATATTAGTTTTGTGTATTTATGTTACTATTAATATTTCACCCATTAATTACTTTAGTAGTTTGGTCATATGCTATGCGGCTGGTACATTTGCATGTGAGAAGCAATCTACAACATTTCGATGTGTTCAGCATCTGCAGAAAACACTTACAGTAAATTTGTCACCACTGACGGCAGCTGCCGTGTGGCTGTGTTTGCCTGCTGAAAATGACATCCATAGTTAATTCACAGCTTGAGGACAGATTGTCTGGAGAAAAGAGTCGTCCACTGACAGATGGCAGGGGCAAAGATGGAAATCGCTTCAGTTTAGGGAAACCATATCACAATGTAAGACTGATTGATTGATTACTTCTGCTCACCACTTGATGGCAGCACGTGTCCATTGAAACTTGGTGACGCTAAAGCTTGAAGAAACATCCAGTGGAATGAGGAACAAATTAACCTTATGGGTCACACACGTTACGTAAAGACCCTGATAACGTCTAGAAATCTGCTAACTATATATCCATTTGTAGAATGAAATGCTGTTTTGACATGGTAGCCTACTTCAACAACCTACACTGTGATATACATGTTCTCTAGAACAGGGGTTTCAATCCATGAGATGCCACGGATGCCCAAATATGATCACCCTGATGCGAGGGCCGTCCTCCTTAAATTCAAAAGTGTTTTTTTTTACACAGTTTTTCTCTTTTCCACAGACCCTGTACACTCCCATGTGGCCCTCTAGAAACAAACACATTCAGCTTCTGCTTACTTTTTAATATAATCCAACACATCTGAACCAATTCTTCTGATTCTCCCGTTCTCAGGTGATAATATTCACACATCAGACGTCTTAGCTTGTTCCCTTCTTTTTTTGAGATGCCCTAGCTTGTCTTGTGTGTCTTTGCTCATTGCTAATTGTCTTCCCATTCTGCTGACAACTAACAGCATTCATTAAAGCTGCAGTCCGTAGCTTTTTTGGGGTTAAAAATTATCCGAAATACATATTTGAGAAAATACATTACCAGCCAATGTTCAAAACTATAACATTGCCGTAGCTCGATTTAAAGCGGTAAGCTTGTAATAATGTTTTTAACTCCAGTGGTACTGGTGGATTTCCACGGGAGATTCGAGCATGTCTTTGTGTCATTACGTCACATCTGTACACATAAAGAAGGAGTCTCGGCTAGTAGGCTATGAGTGTGTCAGGATGCTGAAGGTGGAGATGTATATAGCCTTTTCTCACAGCACTTGATATAATTAAACTTATCAATTTGATGGCGGATCCAGAAAGGTTGAAACGACAATCACCATTGACAACAGATTCACCCGCTGTAAAATGCAAAAGACTTCGTTTGGACTTTGGAGTGGCTACAGAAAAAAAGAGCAACCGGCCCATGCGAAAACAAGGATACATATCGTAAGGACATTACATGTAGTCACGCAATGCTGACGTTGTCAACATTAACAATTTGAGAACAAAGTATATGATATATTTGCGTGATATGATAAGCTATTTTTAGATTTAATCAGTGTGATTTACTGCAATGTCAGAACCAGAACAAAAGTGGATGTTACTTGCTCAGATGACATATTCCAGTGAAAATTATTATGTTGGTCATACTTCCAAAAATAATAATCTGTGATTCTGAATGACAGTATCCACACCGGCGCGGTGACTGACAGACACACACTCTCCTCAAACATTGTGTTCATCCGCGCTGTGCCGTGTCGAAGTACAACTCACGTACTGCAATTGCACATTTCGAACAGAGATGGCGACAAATAGGATAAACTGTGGACTGCAGCTTTAAAGACCAAACTTAGCATAGCTATTAAGTTTTATGATGAAACAGTTGTGTGAATTTAACAGTGCCAGATGGAATGTGCTACTGAGCATCCTGCAATAAACAAGTAGACCTATAGCTAAATCATTTTCATCCCCTCCTAGGACTCTCAGGTCATGGATGTGAGTTTCTTGTCTACTTATGGAGTTGTCAGGTTTTATGTACACGGGAACCGGTCCTCAGTACCATGTTTCTTAAAGAGTTTTTTTAAGAGAAAAACAAACACTCAGTGCCATTCAGACAGATGGGGAGCGAGTGGTGTGAAATGGACTTGATGGTTAAAATTCGCAAATGTACTGAATCTGAGAAGGACATGCTTGTTGAATGGATGATAACAGAACGAACAAGTGATCGAGTGAGTTTTCCACCACAGCAGAAGTCTATCAACAGCCTCTGCTACTCATCTCAGCATGTGTTCATTTATTCACGCCATCATTTATTCATCTTTTCTCCTCTACCCATGGTCTCTATTTTCAAAGTGAATTTCAAAGTTCCTCTGTGAGAGACAGAAACATGATGTTCTTTCTCCAAGAGAGTCCTCTTGTCACTTCTCGCTCAACACAAATAAAACATCCATACATAACGTCAGTATCATGCGTTTTTTTAGTAGGTTAGCTACTTTGTGGGCCCGTTTTACACATAGTTTGACCGTTATGAAAAAAAAACGTGTCTGAGCCTCTGTTGCTCCGAGATGGATGTGAGAGACTAGAGAGTGACAGGAGTGATGGAAAGGGAGTGTGAGATAAGAAGAAAGATCTGCCTTTTTTAAGCAGTGTCACACACTGTATCTTTTTGCTCTACCTTGGCTCATTGCTTCTCACTTCTGCGGCACGTTGCCATGGGAACACAGCTGCAGCACTTGAGTCGTGAGTTGGCGAGGCTGGGGGTTGCTATTTAGTAAACACGTTCGCATTTCTTCATTTGATTTAGCGAGTTGGATGGGGAAAAAATGTGGCTTATACAGAACTTACAGTCATAGCTCTGCCAATGGTGTGAGCAAATGTGTTATTTTGTACTTAGAAGCTTGAAATGTTCTCATCTTGGATGGTTTTACAAGTCAGCTCTCTCAAGGATCACTTTATAGTGCATCCAACTCTCTCTATCTTTTTCTATTCATCTTATGTTGTACATTTGGGCACCAACATGTTAAAGGCAGGGTGGGCGATTTGTTCCAGAATTTTTTTTCTGTTATGCTGGTTAAAAGTCTCTTCACATCCTGATAGCAATCACTAAGTTAAGTGGTCTAATGCATTTATATATATATATCGTCAGTGGAAGGTGTAGGACCATAAAATAAGTCCAAATTTATGCATTTCAATGGCAACACTATCAATGCCGAAATGAATCTGCAGCAGTCAGGTGGTACAGGTCAGTTCTCTTTAAGTCGTTTATGTTAATTATTATTGTAATATATGTGCTTTGAGGCATGAGGTAGTTTAATGCCATCTCTCATGGCGCTTTAGCCTGGGAAAACCCAGACAACTTCTGGCAAATTTAGATTTGCTCTGCAAGTTAGTCTGGCAAAGAGCTCATTCAAGCCCATTTCTAATCCGTCGAAATCGCGGCACCAATCAGAAACGTTGGGGCGGGCTTTACACGATGACGACAGCACAGCGATGGAACTAGGGGTGTGACGGTTATAGTTGAACACGTCATTAGAACACTATAACCGGCAAAACCATGTTATTAAAACATTTGTTTTAAAACATTAAAACATATCACAAACATTTTTTATCATAGAGAATGTTTAAATACTAATATCAGCTTACGAGGGAAACGGAGGCGGAGTTAGTGGTGTGGAGGCTGCTACTGCTGGAGATGATTCGGGAGAGGTCTGTGCCCCTTTACCGATAAGAGCGCGCGCTGACACGGAGTAAAGCCTTGTTTATACTCGACGCGTCCGCACGAGCGCGATGGTGCGCACGTAAAAATTACGCGTTCGGTGCGCAAGACCGGCAAGACCCCATTTCGCTTGGCTGTGTGCATGGCTTTTTTTGTAACAGCGCGCAGCGCCGCGTCCGAGGATGAACGACTTCAAGCCGAATCTGCCCGAGCATGTAGGCTACTACGTCTCACCGCACCGGCACCCAGTTTTAAATTGCAAAGTTCATTGCAAAGTTTTTTTTTGTTAAGGTTTTGTTTACTGTGTGTGATTTATTTAATGGAAAGCACATTCACTTCTAGTTGTCTTGCTGTTAATTTTAAATAAACGAAGAGCAAGTAGCTAATCAGTGTCTGCTCGTTTATTCAAACTAAGTTGTTCTATAACAGACGTCGCTCTGCATACGTCATCTCCTTCAGCGCTCTGATTGGTTTTAGGTCTATCCAATTGCGCCCAGAGGCATTTGAGCTACGTCCGTTGGTGACGCCCCTTTGGAAATGATTTGTCTATGAAGCTTTGCCAGACCATAACTCAGTTACAACTGAGAATGGTCTGGTTTTAACCAGGCTAGTGGCGCTTATGATTGTTCCCAGCTGCTTTGAAGACACTCTGAAGAGAGGGTGGGATCTCATGCTTTCAAAGTTAGTTCGCTATTGCTAGCCACTCTGAAAATTGCTTACCCTACCTTTAGCATTTCTTACACAGACTCAAGACACAAGTTTTAAAGGCATAGTTCACTCAAAAATCATTTCATCACCCTCATGTCGGTCAAAACCTGTACGATTTTTTTTTTTTGTGATGAGGTTTTTTTTTTTTTTTTGGTTTGTTTGTCTATTTAATAATAATAATAATAACAATTCATTACATTTATATAGCGCTTTTCTCGGCACTCAAAGCACTTTACATAGAAGGGGGAATCTCCTCAACCACCACCAATGTGCAGCATGTTCGCTTAACATGAGAATCAAAGAATCAACAAGGTTAATTTTCTTATTAAGCAGCACGTTTGAGCTTCAGCAAGAACCAATGACGTTAATTCTCGTGTGTTACGCAGCAAGTTTGAGCTTCTGCAAATACCAATGAGATTTGTTCTCGTGCGTCAAGCACATACGGTTCAGCTGTTTATATTTAAATAAAAGACTACATTTAAACTGTTCATCATCGTATAAAGCTATCGAGTTTCTTCAAAAAATGTGGACTAAACAGCTCAATTCATATGGTTCTCTTTGTGAACTTCTTGAAGCGACAAAGTGGTATACGGACTGTCAATTGAGGGACAGAAATCTGTCAGATTTCATCAAAGCGATCTTTATTTGAGTTTTGAAGATAAACGAAAGACTTATGGTTTGGAACGATGTGATGTTTTTTTAAATTTTTTTGGATGAACTAACCCTTTAACTAACTAACGAGTTCCTGCGAGAACTGACCATTTTGAAGGGCTACCTGGAGTTTCTTTAGAGGTTTTCACCAGTCATGGAATTTGAGGAGCCTCAAATGGTAGGCTACCTCAAGCAATTAAAAAAAATATATATATATATTAGCACATATCAACAGACAAGAATTTAAAACAGAAAACAATTTAGAGCAGCTACAAGATGATATACTGTATAACACACATTAGGTGAGAGGGTGGACAGTTGGGGGGTGGGGGCTTTAAATAAAAAGTAATGGCATCTTCGTCTAACATAACGGGTGGCTGCATATTGCGGTTGGGATCACGCAGGAGTGGCATCATCCCAGTGTAGAGAGGTCTACCCCGATCTTCACTCTCTCACTCCCCCTCCCATCCTCATTCTGTATCTCTCCCTGATCCCACAGTGTAGTAAAGCGAATAGGCAGCTAAACAAACAGCGGGATCTTTTCAGAGAAGACACTGACAGAGGTAAGAAACTTTTCTGTATTTATATCACCCAAATTTGCAATAGTCGGTGGCAGGCATGCCTAGGCGGAAAATATGGACCACCTCTTCACACTGTATCGGAGAGCAGGCATCGTAGTTGCCCAGACTGCGCATTGCTCTGAAGAGAAGCCACCTGCACGCGCCGCGACTCACACGCTCTAATCAGATCTAGCCTAGAAACCGTCAACGCATTCACGCGTTTCTGGCAGAATGTATGCGCCTCAAAGCGTGTATTTCAAGGCAGTCGTTGAAGCGCAAATATGCAGGTTTGAGGAGATTTTTCTCGTGAGTGTTACTTGTGTGGTGCCATATGAATGATCCTGCGTCTCACATAGGATGTAGTTCACTGGGAGCTGGTCTTAATCTATAGCCATGTAAAAAACATGGAGAGCGACTGCAGGAGGTGCACTTAGGACGCAGCGTTAGATCGCCTCTAACAGATGTGCGGAGGGGATTTGGTATTAATATATGCTACCATGGCGGATAGGCTACCATGGCGGGGTTTTGTTTGCGAACTGCGTGACACGGTTTCGGTTCACAGCAGCATTAAGACGATGGAAGGAGCATGTTCCTTTAGTATTTCATAACTTTGACATGATTCTTTTCATCTCATGTATTATTCATTAGTATGTATGAAAGAATGTCAGAAAGCATTGCGTCTCCATGAACTGTGTGGTGGAATTACATTCACAGCTCAGATGATGTGCGTGTTTGTAAGGGCGAGAGATAGAAATATAGCTATTGAACAATTATTTTAATATGCATCGACAACAAGTAACGGTGTGGCACTGCTTTTGATTTGTCTCTATGAAGTTTCAGTAGCCTAAAGTCCCTGAAAAAAACCTGTTGGGCATGTTTTTTTTACGTTTATATTTCCCCCTATTGTTTCCTTTTCTAAAAGTATTCTATTATAAATACAGGCTATATAACATTCAACATAATGCACTTACATTTTATATAGTCGTGCAGTGCGTTTATATAATGCGTGTGTGTGTGTGTGTGTGTGTGTGTGTGTGTGTGGCCTGGTAAAGACACAAAGATGGCAATATCCGAAATCCTTGTCCTTTTGGGGATTTTTGTTTTGGTCCCCAATCATAATAAGTGATGTTTTTTTAAATGTAAAAATGCAGAAGGTTTTCTGTGAGGGGTAGGTTTAGGGTAACCTGGTAAGGAGATATAATATACAGTCTGTACAGTATAAAATCATTATGTCTATGGAAAGTCCCCATAAAACATGAAAATACAACGTGTGTGTGTGTGTGTGTGTTCATTAGATACAAACCATATTTATGCAATAAAGATACGGGTCACTAAGCAATGCACAAATTGTAATCTGGTCTGGAGCAGCAGGTGTAATAATTTTTTACAGTGTATCAGTCAATTCATATCACAGTGACTTCCTTCTCAATAGTGAAAACAAGTTTTAAAATTGCTAATCAATGGCAATAAATGACTTGTGGAAGTGCTTATAGCAGAGTTTAGCAGGATTACAATCCCATTGGTTTGCACAGGTGGGTGCCACAGTTTTTTGATTTTACTCTATCAGTCATTGATACTCAGAGCAATTAGCTCAGTTCCTCAGCCACAGGAGCGATGTGTTTTCACAGACTGTCCAACAGCTGGACACAGAGGTCAAGCCACCAGCGTAGTGAAGTGGAGGACATTTTCACCATCACCCCACAAGCTTCATGGTTTGAGGGTGCACTCTGGTCTTTAAATGTTTAAATGTGGTTGATGCAGCTTGGTGTGAGGTGAAACCGGCGTAAGGAAGGGAAGAGGCACTATAGATGATGTTGTTCTTCTGCACTTAATGCATCTTTCTCCTCACTGCACGGAGAGGCAGTAATTATGATGCCAAGCTCAACTGTCCCTTTGTTCCAAATACGTCCCTAAAGATCGAATCCCTGCAGGCTTTCAATGTGCCTTTTAATTAGAGCCTTATAGTGATATAAGAGAGACAGAGACTGAGGGAGAAAGTATGTGTGTTAAGGGGGAGGGGTGTCTTATATTCTGCTTCGCATTAATGAATAATCACTTTGATTTAGTAATGAAGACTGTGGCTATTGGACCACAATAATGTTGTGTGTGAAGTCAGAACTGTTCCTGTTTTGTAGGGCAATAGATCATTTTAATCACATCAATCACACATTTTTAATCATGTTGTTAGTGTGAAAGTAGAGAAGTGCTGACCTATGCTATTAAGTAATCATATGTCATGCTGCCCAAGCAAGCCACATAATCAATAAAACATAAAAGTTGAGATGTGATCACTTATTATTACGGTAACGGAATCGATGAGAGATATTATCAGTGCAACTCTGCGTCTAAACATTTGTGAATTTTTTTTGTTATTTTGTAACTCCTTGGAAAGAAAGTAGTGTGTTTTCCCTTTGGCAAATGAGGAACCTGTTTCATCTAGTCAGTCTGTCTTTCATTTAAGCAAATGTTGTAGTAATGAGGCTTTGGGTAATTAATAAGTAATTTGGTTTATGTTAGACTCTTTTTTTCCAAAGATTAAACTGAATGAGTGACCATGCTTATGCCTATAAACATCGTGTCAACATTTTAGCTCAGCCGATACTTCACATATGCTTACATCTTTAAATATTATTTTAGACTCTTTAATTGACTGTAACATATATATATATATATATATATATATATATATATATGTCTGCTATAATAGTCGATTTTACAAATACACTCTAAGAAAAGTCCTTAAAAACACTCCCCTATGTACTGATAATATAAAAAAATAATTTTCTATATAGATTTTTCACAGGGGTTTTACCAGTATTTTGAATTACACATCACATTGTTATGTGTTTTCGGGTTGAAGTAAATGTCTGTTAAATTATTGGAAAATGACATTATCTATATATTGGGAAATATTAAGATTAAAAATAACTCTATTTCATTATTTTAAAATGTAATTTATTCCTGTGATGCCAAAGCTGAATTTTCAGCATCATTACTCCAGTCTTCAGAGTCACATGATCCTTCAGAAATCATTATGCTGATTTAATGCTCAAGAAACATTTATTATTATCAATGACTATGTTTACATGCAGCCAAATTTCGGGTTATGGTCGGGTTAAGGTCACTATTCGGGTTTCTGAAACATTAGGGATAACCCGTTTACATGCGTGAGCAGAGAGAGTTACTCCTGTATCCATGGAATTGCAATATCCCGATGTAAACGCGACGCGCGGTTAGCGTCTGGACGTACGGACAACCTTAATGGTGCGTTCACGTGCTATGGTAATTATGGTAAATACCAAAAGCCGACATGGAAAATGCACATGAACACCCCCTCATGTGGTATTTTCCACTGGGCAACTCGTAGAATATTTTGATGCACGAGTTGCCGAGATGAGATAACCTTTGACCTTTTCAAAATGGCGGAGAGCAACCAAGGGGGTAATCCACCAGCCTGAAACTGAAGTCTCCCCGGGCGCCGCCATTGGCTAGCAAGCCTTCACCTGCTGTTAGCATTCCATTGACTCCCATTCATTTTTGCGTCACTTTGACAGCGAATAACTTTACATCTGAGGCGTTTAAAGACTCCATTTGTCCATTGTTTATTTCTAAAGAAACACGACAATGTATAAAATGCTCCATTACCTTGTATCTTACGTTGTGGCCCCGTAAAAGCAGTTTTTGTAAAAATAGGCTAACGATTGCGTCATAACACGCGACTCTCTGTCGCATAGAAGATAAATGACCGTAAAGACAGATGTAGAAGCTCACACGCAATCGGGGGACGTGGAGGCATAAAGTCAAGGGAGAAGCCCAGAGTCATAAAGTTGCTCCTTCTGCGAGCTCATGAACAGCTAATACTCACGATCTCCGGCTCTGCAAGATTCGGAAGGGAATGATTCAGATTCCTCTTGGCACCGCTACTAGAAGACGTACAACTGTCAGTCAGGTTGCTCACGTCACAACTACGTCTTCAAGCTCAGTGTGAGCCTGCGCAGTGCGCTTGGCAATCAGGAAGTGAGTGCTTCTGTTTGACTTCACTTTTCTCCGTTGAAGTCTATGGGGTCGCTGTGTCCATTTCTTTTACTGTCTATGAGAGCAACGTGAGAGTCGTGAATGGTAAAAATATGTACTATTCATGATCTAGAAAATATACAGCATATTATTTACCATTTGAGTTTTGATAAATCATTTTCTTGCTGTAGCAGATGACTTAAGCAATCTAAAACAGCTTTAGCTAAATAACAGGTCGGGATCTCCATCTTTTTACCACATTACGACAACAAAAGCACTTGAACGCAACACACTGGTAAATGCCAGTTCACAAGTGGAAAATATCATATTTTCCATAGCACATGAACGCACCATAAGACGCACTATGCGTCATTTCCGATTCTTCTTCCTGTATCCAAAGACAACAACAGCAGCACGCGGATAATGAATAGTTCGGGGCAGATAGCGATCGCCTTTGTTTGCGCTTTGGTGCTGGTAATGTTACTGACCTCGCTCCAAAAGTATGCTGTGCTGCGTCTCGCCATGTTTACTTCCGGTATACTGCACGCGGGTTTTTGTATGCGCTGAGAAGTTTCTCTACTCAAAAGACCAAGATTCCTTGCGAATAGAACATGCGCAGAACACACATCACTATGGGGATATGCCGATGCGCGTTTACATGACCAAAAATTCGGGTTAGAAAAGGGGTACCCCAGGTATAATATCCCGGTTTTTAAAATCCGGGATATGAGCATATTCGGGTTTTTGCCGGTGTTTACATGGCCGTTCGCGACCGGGTTATTGCTAATATCCCGGTTTTGAACGGGTTATTGGCTGCATGTAAACGTAGTCAGTGTTGACACCAGTTGTGCTGCTTAATATTTTTGTTAAACTTTTTTTTCTAGGATTATTTGAAGTAAAATTGAAATAGAATTATTTGAAATATATTGTTTTGTAACAACGTAATAGTCTTTACTGTCACTTTTGATCAATTTAATGCATTTTGCTGA